AGAGTTTCACTTCTTCTTTTCCTATCTGGATTCCTTTTACTTCTTTTTCTGCCCTGATTGCTGTGGCCAAAACTTCCAAAACTATGTTGAATAGTAGTGGTGAGAGTGGGCACCCTTGTCTTGTTCCTGATTTTAGGGGAAATGCTTTCAATTTTTCACCATTGAGGATAATGTTTGCTGTGGGTTTGTCATATATAGCTTTTATTATGTTGAGGTATGTTCCTTCTATTCCTGCTTTTTTATCATAAATGGACGTTGAATTTTGTCAAAGGCTTTTTCAACTTACCACAACAGAGGTGCAGAATCCAGCAAATGGCTTGAGAGGAAAACTGTATGTGTGTTTTTTGTATACAAAAAGAACACAGGAAAGACCTATGGCCAGTGATCTGGAGGGCTTCCCTGGTGGCGCTAGTGGTAAAGAATCTGCCTGCCAATGCATGAGACACTAGAGATTCACATTCGATCCCTGGGTGAGGATGATACCCTGGAGGAGGGCATGGCAACCCACTGCAGTATTCTTGCCTGGAGAATCCTATGGACAGAAGAGCCTGGAGGCCTACAGTCCATGGGGCTGCAAACAGTAAGACACGACTGAGTGACTAAACTACCACCACTTGGATGTCTACTGGACATTGCCAATTGGAATATCAATCATTAAACTTCCTTCTCAAGACTGCTCTACCTGCAGCTTTCCCAGGTATGGAAATTTCATCCTTCTACCTTTGGCCCTGTAGGTCTACATCACAAGAGCCACCTTTGACTTCTCTCATTCTCTAATACACCATATCCCATCTGTCAGGAAGTGCGATTAAGTCCACCACTGGAATTCAATCACTTCTCATCCCCATTACTACCACCCTGGCCCAAATTACTATCACCTTCTCTCTTACTTGGATTAAAGCAATAAGCCTCCCAACAAGTCTATCTATTTCCATTCTTGCCCCTCCTATGAAAGTGAAAGTCGCTCAGTCACGTCCGACTCTTTATGACCCCGTGGACTATACAGTCCATGGAATTCTCCAAGCCAAAATACTGGAGTCAGTAGCCTTTCTCTTTCCCAGGGGATCTTCCCAACCCAGGGATCGAACCCAGGTCTCTGGCACTGCAGGTGGATTCTTTACCAACTGAGCTATCAGGGAAATGTTCCTCCTATAGTGTACCCTCAACACAGTGGTTAGGGCAATCGTTTAAGACAGGGATCAGCAGCAAACTTTCTCTAGAAAGCCAAAGAATAAACATTTAGCCTATATGGGCCAAGAGGTAAAAATCGAGGCTGTTACATATGTACTTATATAACAAAAGAAAAAACATGCTTTTATTGACAAAATTCAAAATATAATAGTAATAACTGAGTACATTTTTAAACAAGCTCTACTGATGAGAAAATGAAAAACAAAAAATTTTTAAAGGACCCCATTTTGCTAAAATGGAGCTCAAAGTCAATGTCCCCCATCATCAGATTGACTGCAAATACTTATCTGTAAAAACCATTCTTAGCTGAAGGCCACACAAAAACAGGCAGTGGGATGGATTTACCCTGTGGGATGTTGTTTGCTGATACCTGTTTTAAAATAAAATCAGATCATATCACTCTCATCTCAAAACTCCATGAATAGTTTTCTATTGTTGTGTAACAATTACCACAAATTCAGCAGGTTAAAACAATACCCATTTATTATTCTCAGTTCTGTAAGTCCAGGCGGGCTTACCTGGGCTCTCTGCTTAGGGTCTTAAGAGGCTGAAATCAAGGTGAGCTCTTTTACAGAAGGTCTGGGAAAGAATCTGTGCCTAACTTATTCAGGCCGTTGACAGAAACCAGTGCCTTGCAATTGTGGGTCTGAAGTTCCCATTTCCTTGCTGGCTGTTAGCCAGGAAGCACTCTGGGCTTCTAGAAGCTGCCTGCATTCCTTGTCTTGTGGCTTCATCTTCAAAGCCAGCCAAAGGGCATTCAAATCTTATGCTTTGAAGCTCTCTGATTTCCCTTTCTGCTACCAGATGGGACAAACTCTCTGCTTTTAAAGGTCTTGCTTGATTAAGGTTATGCCCACCCGGTAATTATATCTCAAAGTCAGCTGGCTTGGGACTTGCATTACATATGCCAAATCCCTTCCCAGCAGTGTTTAGGTTAATGTTAGATTAAATAACCAGGGGACAAGAATGGCGGGGGTGAGGGGCATCTTTAGAATTCTGCCTACCACATGCTGCAATAACTTCCTATTCAGAGTGAAAAGATAATGCACTAATAAAGGGCCCACCCGATTTGTGCCACCTGCTCCCAACTCCCATGCATGTCCCCTTACTTCTCTGACGGTATTTCCTACCACTTTCCCTCTGGCTTGCTCTGTTTATTCACTACTACATGTTCACCCAACTTGCTGTTTTTTAAACCATGACAGATACTCGCCCACCTTAGCCTCTCTGCCCAGAATTCTCTTCTATTATATATCTACTTTGTTAACTCCTATATGGCCAAGACTCTGCTCCACTTTTGCTCTTTCAAGAGGCACATCTGATGATACCATTTAATATTACAACCTGTACTCTCATTCCTAGCACTGGCTATTGCCCCCATGCCATTCAATATTCCTTTTTTCAACTGCACTTATCACTTTTAACATATTATATACATTATGATGCTTATTTCTGTCCCTCTTTGGTAGTAAGGATCTTTGTCTATTTTTTAAAATTCATTTATCTATTTTTGGCTGAGCTGGGTCTTCATTGCTACGTGGGCTTTTTCTCTACTCGAGGTACGTGGACTTCTCATTGCAACAGCCTGTCTTGGTGCAGAGCACAGGTTAAGTGAGCTTCAGAAGTTTCGGCACACAGGCTCAGCAGTTGTGGCTCCCAGGCTCTTGAGCACAGGCTCAACAGTCACGGCGCATGGGCTTAGCTGCTCCGTAGCATGTGGACTCTTCCTGACCCAGGGATGGAACCCGTGTCTCCTGCATTGGCAGGCAGATTCTTTACCACTGAGACACCAGGGAAGCCCCTTTGTCTATTTTTTTTTAAATGATGTACTTTTGGTTTACTAAGCACCTAGCACAGTAGCTGGCATGAACAGATGTTGAATAATAATTCATTGAACGAGGTTCTGGAAAATTGTTTCAGTTTGTTATACTAGGTACTAGGTTGTGAGGTACAACATATTTCTTATCTGACAGTGTAGTCAAGAGTGTTTGAAAACTACTTAGTTTAGACTATATCATCTCCATGGTTCTTTCCAAATAGAATTTTTTAATTTCTATGTGCAGCCACTGAATCTGTATCCTTTGGGATATGGCAAGGTGTACAGCCTAGTGACTACGGCAAGGCATGACTACTGAGACATAATAACTGACACTGACAAAGCTAACAAGCATCCATCCACCTGCCAATGCAGGAGACTCAAGAGACACAGGTTCAATCCCTGGTCGGGAAGATCCCCTGGAGAAGGGAATGGTAACCTGCTTCAGTATGCTCGCCTGTAAAATCCAACGGACAGAGGAGCCTGGTGGGCTACAGTCCAAGGGGTCGCAGAGAGTCTGACATGACTGAGCACACGCATACCTGTTCTATTGATATAACAGGTTAGGAAGAACTGTGGAAATAGCAAGAACTGTTGAATGCCCCCAAAGAGAAAAATCTGCACTTAACTCTTCCATCAGAAAGAGATATAATCGGAGAGAAAATCATAAAAGAGAACACTTTCCAGATCAAAACTTCCCTGACTGAAGCTTTCATTCACTTACTGAAGAAGCGGAGATGAGTGAAGAAAGAGATCATTCAAAGTCTTTGCTGTAGAAATGGTGACCTGAATGGACTGGGGGAGCAAAGACCACTTCTGAAGTATGTATGATTTCCACTCATCCACGGGCAGATCCATGCTACTTTAGATCTAAAAAATGAATAAGAAAACAAGGAATTCAGTTTTCTACAAATGCATAGTTACAGAAAATCAAGATTTCATTCAAGCAAGCATGAAGCAACAAAATCAAATCTTGTAGTCTCTTCCTAAAGTTGTTTACATGCCAAGGAAGGATGTATCGTCTCTCGCACCAATTCACTCAACATCCCTTCATTCAGAAATATTTACTGAAAACTGACTTTGTTCCTGGCATCGTACTAGGGAACGGTTATACAATGATGAACCAGATTTCTTACACAGTTCAGTTTTTTCTTTTCAATCCCGAGGTCACTCCTTTAGATCATGCCCTCACCATTTCCTGTCTGGCATTCTTTCTCCAGTGTCATAATTAGTCTTCGGGCCCTCAGACTCCCCCTCCCATTTCCCCCTTCCCAATTACATCCTCCAATACTGAGACCGATGTCAGTTCTCTGCCTTGAATTCATTGATGCTTCTCCTAGAACTTAGGGAAGCCCAGTACAAACCCTTTATTATTTGACCCCTGGCTCACTTTCTGATCAAGTCTCGCTTTTCCTCTACACCCTACTATCCGAATTTCCACACATCGTTCAAGACTCAGTTCAAATGGTTCCTACTCCGGGAAGCTTTCCCTGATTTTGCCACCTGTGACTACAGGAGCACACTATGCGTCTCTCCTGGGGCCCAAACCACGTCTACACTGAGTTAAGGCTACTCACAGCCGAAACTCCCTCGACATACTGTGCTCCCCTCTGGGAGTAGGGACCAGGTCTTATTTACCTTGAGAGACCCCCACTGTGCCAAGCTCAGGGTCTGGCACCTGTGGGAGCTCAGCTCGGGATTGCTGAAAGAAGCAAGTCACTGCTTTGACTACCTTCAGTAGCAGAATTACCAGGGAACCCCTCGAACACTCCTCTGGACTAGCAGTCTGTGTCTGCCCGCCAAAGGCCGAGTGCTGTACGTTTCCTAGAGCCTGCAGGGAAAGATCCCGGAACGCCTCCTCCCAGCGCCCTTGGCTCCTCCCGCGTCACGCTTCGCGCGCCCCGCGGCTCGTCGCCCCGCCCCCAGGCCCCCGCCATCCCGCGAAGAGGCCCGGGACCCGGACTCCGGTGGGTCACGTGAGCCGCGTGCCGCGCCTCAGCCAATGCGGTGGCTGCTCGGCCCTCCGACCGCCCCGTGCGGTGCGCACGTCGGGAGGCGGGGGCGGTTCACGCAGCTCCCCCGGCCAATCGCCTTGGAGCGCGCGGGTCCCCGGGAGTAAAGCCAGGCTTGCGTGGGGGGAGCCGGAGCGCGGGAGTTGTTGCGGCGGAACCATGGTGGGCCACCTGAGCGAAGGGGCCATTGCGGTGAGGCGACGCCTGCGAGCTGGGCGCGGTGCGGGGCGGCTGTGGGCCCTGGGGCCGTGCGGGGGGGGGAAGGGGGAGAGAACACAGGAGCCGGAGTGGTAGCGGGGGCTGGGGAGCGACCGCCGGATGACTCCCTAGAATCATCAGTTAACGCATTTTTATCGTCATCTTTTTAAACATGCTCGTTTTTCCTGCTTAAGGAGCTGAAACAAAGTAAACGGTTGATTTTCGCCCATCTCTGTCCTGCAGCCACTCTTTCTTCTCCCCTTACCCCATCCCCAGCGAAACTTTCTCCAAGAGTTGTCAGTTTTCAGTTATTTTCCTCGCCTCACATTCCCCTGTAACCGATTCGAATTAGTCACTCCCCTCCCTGATCACCGTAACCCTGGCTGAAGTCAGCAGTGCCTCCTGGGGCTGTTAAATCCAACAGACACTTTTCGAGATCTAAATTTGTCAATTCTCAGCAGCGTTTGACTATTGGGCATCGCTTTCTTCCGGTAGAATTCTCTTCTTTTGGTTTCTATGGCTCATCTTGGCTTGTCTCTCCCTGTCTTACTTGCAGATCCTTCTGTAAATTTTTGTTGACTCAAGGCTCAACCCTAGGCCCTCTTCTTCCAAGACAGTCAAGTTACTGTCTCTATGTCAGTTGCTCACAAGTTTCTTTTTGTCCAGGGCCAACTTTACTCTGAAAGACAAACCTCTATCACCTGTGTACTTGATATCTCAAAGACATTTTAAATTCAACATGTCACAAACCAAATCTAATATCTTCCTAAATTTGGGTCTCTGCTGTCCCCTGTCTGGATGCATGGCACCATTATTCATTAAGTTATGCCAGCCAGAAATTGTGGAATCGTTCTTCCTATAAACTCTGTCACCCTGGCTATCCAGTCCGTACCTAAGTTTAGTCTGTTATACCATCACATATGTCTCTTAAACCCAACTACTTCTCTCCAGGCACACTGGCACCATTATTTGTGCCTGGCCTTCTCCCTTTTATCCAGCATAATCTTCCTCCTGCCATTCCCAACATAGCATATTCCTACCTGTTCTTTCCTTTTTTCCAGACTTTTTAAACGTAAATTGTAAATTCCTGGTATATTTCATACTCCTGCCTTCCACAGGGGCTTTGAACATTCTTAAACCACTGCCTGGGTGGTTCTTTTATTATTATTGTTATTAAATTTTTTATTTTTTATTGGAGTGTAGCCAATTAACAACGTGTTGTTCTTCATTCTTCTCTTGTTGACTGACATAATCTCCACTCAGTTACAAAGAGCTCTTCCATGACTCACTTTGCTAGGCTTAAGTCCTTTTATTTTCAGACCCTAATTCCTGTTTGTTCACCTGTTATCTGTGATTTCAGGCAAAATATTAAACTCTGCCTTTCCTCTTCTGTCACAGGCTTGTCATACCTAGTACATGTTGCCTCTGGTTAGTGGAAGGATTAAATGAGCTGTTAATTTAAAGTGCTTAGTTCATGTCTGATACATAATAAATGTTCATTACTTGTTACCTATTATTAACAGTCACAGATAAGATTTTACATGAAATATTGTTCATTTCATTAATGTCAGTTTCTTTCTGCCTCCCCCCCACTGGACTGTAAATGCTCTGAAGCCTGAAATCTTGTCTTTTTTTTTTTTTTTTTTTGCCAAACAGTCTCCCCGATTCCTGGAGCAGTGCTGGCCAGTATGAGGTGCCCAATAAATGTTTACTAATAGTGTATGTGGAGAGGGAAATGGCAACCCACTCCAATATTCTTGCCTGGAGAATCCTGTTGACAGCGGAGCCTGGTGGGCTGTTGTCCATGGGTTTGCACAAAGTAGGACATGACTGAAGCAACTTAGCATGCATGCATGCATTGGAGAAGGAAATGGCAACCCACTCCAGTATTCTTGCCTGGAGAGTCCCAGGAACAGAGGAGCCTGGTGGGCTGCCGTCAGTGGGTTGCACAGAGTCGGACACGACTGAAGTGACTTAGCAGCAGCAGCAGCAATTGCATATGAGGTAGTGAAAAGAAAGGGACAGGTGGATGAAGAGATACAGTTGGCAAAGTGGAGTGAATTTTTTTTTTTCATTTATTTTTATTAGTTGGAGGCCAATTACTTTACAATATTGTAGTGGTTTTTGCTGTACATTGACATGAATCAGCCATGGATTTACATGTGTTCCCTGTTGGAGTGAATATTTTAATAAATTAAAAATAATTAACCTTGAGAAGTGATTGCAGATTGTAGTCCTTGTTTCCCTTATAGCTGCAACCCTGCGTCTTTAAGACAGATTAGGAATTGTTCTTTACTTTTAAAAACAGTGACTAAGGTATCATTTAAATAATTTGCCGAGTTTGTTTTTGTCACGTTCAAAAATTTTGAAACATTTACAGTGTTAGCTGTAGTATTACTTAGGTCTTGTTCATAAATGACAACGAAAATTTATGTGTGTGTTTCGGTAGAGAACCTTTGTCAAATTTCTCATCTAAAGCAAGTAATATTTTAGTTGAAAAGACATAGACCCCCAAGGGCAAGCAACTAACACACACAAATAGTAGGGACATTTTCAGCAAGAGCTAATAAGAGCTTATTCATGGAACTATTGTGGTAAATAGAATAAATAGTATTTTTATCTTAAGTAACTAGGTAATAGAGGAAGGGACTAATATTTTTGACCATTTCCAATGTGCCAGATATTTCATTATAGTGAGTACTTAAAATAACCCTGTAAGGTAGATTTTTATCTTTAACCCCATCTTACAGACGAAGAAATTAAAATGCAGAGAAGTAGTTTGTGGACCAGCTGAGGATTTGAACACAGACTTTTGAGCATTACATTCTGTTGCTTTGCATTTTTTTTCCTTCCAGTTTTACTGAGATGTAATTGAAATACTGCACTGTTTAAGGTGTACAGCATAATGATCTGACTTATGAAACCATTGCCACAGTCAGTTTGGTGAACATCTGTCACTTTACACACACACACACGCGCGCGCGCGCGCGCGCGCGCGAAGGAAAAAATAGTATTTTTTTCCTTGATAAGAACTCTAAGGATTTACTCTCTTACTAACTTTCACATGTAACATTGTTAATTATATTAATCCTGTTGTGCATTACATCCAGCCTGGTACTTATCTCAAAACTGGAAGTTTGTAACTTTTGAATAGATTTTCCTCCTCCCTCCACTTCCTGCCTCTGGTGACCACAAATCTGATCTCTTTTTTTCTATGAGTTTGTTCATTTGCTTGCTTGTTTTTGAAGTGTAATTGGCCTGCAATACAGGGTTAGTTCCTGGTGCACACCATAGTGATTTGATATTTCTGTACATTGCAAAATGATCACCATCGTTGCTTTGTATTTTTACTAGCAGTGGTAATTTGGAAAATTTAAATCAGTTCTGCCTTAAGTGTATATGTCATGTTATATGTCCCAGAAGAGTGAGTTTTAATCACTATTTATTGATGGCACAAATAAAAAGTAATAAAGGAATACATGCGTTTGATTTTAGACTCAGATAGAACAGAAAGGTGCTTAATGAAATTACTGACCTGCCCCCCTTCCCCCAATTCTGTTCCCCAGAAATGGCTACTTAAAAAAATTCAGGAGAAGGAAATGGCAACCCACTCCAGTGTTCTTGCCTGGAGAATCCCAGGGATGGGGGAGCCTGGTGGGCTGCTGTCTGTGGATTCACACAGAGTCGGACATGACTGAAGTGACTTAGCAGCAGCAGCAGGTTCATCTACTTCACTAGAACTGACTCAAATGTGTTCCTTCTTATGACTGAATAACATTCCATTTTATATATGTACCACAACTTCTTTATCCGTTCGTCTGTCATCTAGGTTGCTTCCATGTCCTAGCTATTGTAAATAGTAGCAGGACTACTTTTATCTGGCTTATCATATGGACTTCTACTTTATATTTCAGTGAAAAAGAGATTCTACCTTTAAATAAAATTTGAAGTTATTAAAAAAAAAAATCAGACTTCCTTGGCAGTCCAGTGGTTATAGTTCTGTATTTCCAGTGCAATGCAAGGAAAAATCTAAGGTCTAAGGTCCCACATGCTGTGGGCCATGGTCAAAACAAAGATCACATTTACTGAATTTTAATTAGATTTACATAAAATAGGAATTATATTGCATATGGTTTGCACACTATCAGTTTGTAATACATCAAACTGTATGCAGTAGTATATCAAGCCATATACAGTTTGATGAATTTGGACAATTCAAAAAGTATAAAAGGACGCAGTGCAAGTTAAGCCTCCAAATTGTGTCCCCCATTACCCAGTTCTTCTCACAAGAGGCAACTAGTGGTATACAAACATTTTCTGGAGGCTGCATGATATTTTGTTTTAAGGGTTTTGCTATATTTATTTGTCTGATTCCCAATTAATGGGCAGTGTATGGAAATAAATGTGCTATTATGAATAATGAGTACATATGTGATGCCAGTATTTTATGAATACATACATGAAGTAAATGTATATTGTTGGTAAGTATGAATCCCACTTTTATGATTTGTCCAGAGTGATAAAGAACTTAGAGTGGATTCTCAAATGGTAAGCTCTGAAAAGGGTCTTTTAATAATGTTATCTGTGGTTTATTCCAGATACCAAACTAAAAATATGTCAAGTTTTAATCATGATTTGAACACCTGTCTCACAA